TTGTTTAAAACAGTTATTAAATATGTCATTAGTGTGATAGATATTTGATATGAGTTCTCTTATATAAATAGTAAATCTAGATCTTGGCATTTTTAAAATTTAAGGTGTCTTTTCACACCATCACTTGTCTTCTATTATAATCATGTAGGAAAGGGGGGTTTATAACATGTACAATATGTGTAAGATATAGCAATTGTATTTCCATCATTTTAGAATAAATTCAGAAGTGTATTTCAATTAATGTATATTTGAGTCAAACAAGCATTTGTGGAGACAAAGGTGTTCTGTTACTAGAAGTAGCCTACATTAGTCTTATAGCCATTATTGTGTTTCAGAATTTAGCCTTTAAAATATGTCTGCCTGTCTTCTGTGTACTATGTGACACTGATATTAAGAAAATAATTGAGCCTGGTGGTTGTGACACATTCCTTTCCTTCCAGCATTCTTGATACAGTGGCAGGCAAATCTCTGAGTTCAAGGCCAACTTGGTCTACAATGTGCTTTCCAGGACAGCCAGGGTTACCCAACAGAAACCCATCTTAAAAAAATAAAATTAAACCAAACCAAGTAAAACAAACAAAAGACCAAAACCCAAATAAACAAACAAAAAGGAAAACAAAAGTTCAGTATTTAAGAACATTATGTGTGTGTATATAACAACATAAATGACAAAAGAGGTCATGAATATTAAAACGAGCAAGGCTGGTATATGGAACGACTTTTGAAGGGATGAGATAAATTCTGCAATTATACTAGAATCTCAAAGAATAAAAATAAAAGTTAAACAAAATATTCAAACAAAGAAATGCAAAGCCATTCCTCCCAGGTTAGCTGATATTGAGAATACTGGACTATGGGCCATTAACACATGCCAGCAGGCATTAAACACAATATTAATGTGTTAAAATATTTAAATCAAACTTGTTATTCACACTTTTTATACTTTATTATATCCAAACACAGTTTTAACTACATTGAGTCATGCTTGAGAATTTCTTAAGCTGGACCAGAAACTAAAAAGATTTAAGTAACTACACACTTATTTTGATCCTAGATCTCCTTTGTCTCAGGATGGGCTCACTCTCTGTGAGCTGAGAATGACTTTGAACTTATAATTATCCTGAATAAACCTCCATCACATTCAGTTTTAACATTTTGTTTGTAAAGGTTTTATACTCACTGTTGCATCGAAACTAGCTTCTGTTGTAGTGGGAAAGCAGTGATAGGCATTGTGTCCTATGCCATTTCATTATATTATTTTCTTATTTATTTTTAATTTTTTAAGACAGGGTTTCTTTGTATATCTTTGACTGTCCTGGAACTAGTTCTGTAGACCAAACTGGCTTCAAACTTACAGAGATCTATCTGCCTCTACCTCCGAGGTACTGGAGTTAAAGGTATCCACCAGCATTGCCCAGCCTTGTGTAGCATGTCATTACTGTTTAAATAGAATTTTATTTCAAGCTGTAGCTTGAGGTAATATATTTATTAATCATTGTACTAGAGCATTGGCTAAATTAGACCATTAAAAATGATATTGCCTCAACCACATAGTGAAATATATTAGACTCACTTCTCCATTTTATTTTCGTAAAAAATAACTTTTAGTTCTTTTGTCTCAATTAGAAGAGTGATGCAGTTGATGATAATTACTATCATAATGATATAACCCACATAGTTAGCATAATGCAATAAATTAGGAGAGTAATAGCCTGATTTTTGATGTAGCTGATAAATTAATGTACAACTACTCCACATTTCCTCTTTTAGTTTCCCTATTTAGTGTGCATTATCTTCTTTTTCATTTTACCATTCATCACATTCCTGTGTCTTATCAACATCATAAGTTTCATCTTTACCCCTAGAACACTGACTAAAGCATAGAGTTACTGTTTAGTCTTTGAAATTATTGTCAGTAGTATATGTAGCAATGGATCATATTTTTGTCTATTGTGTTTTATTTCTAAGCTTACTCATTTCCATTTTTTCTGGCTCTAAAGGATCAAGTTAGAGAGAAAGATGTCTAGAATCTAGCATGTGTTACTTAATATTAACTTGTAGCCAATTCATATTATTTCCTTTGATTATTTATTCAAACTATAATCAATGTTTGATTTCCTGAAAAGCTCACCTAAATCAACTGGGAAATAAAGCATTATGAGTAAGTAGAAAAGTATATAAACGGATGACTAATAAATGAAGTGTTATTAATGGCCACAAACAGATAAAATCATTCATTTATGTCAATCCTTATTATTAAATGGTTAATTGAAAAAAGTTAAATCTGAAACATAAAGGATACATTAAAAGATGAATACTCCTTTTCACCTATCAGATTTGCAGAAATACTTAGAAATCAAATTTGAAAAATTTTAAATTCCTGATAAAGTTCAAAAGTCAATTTAAATAGACATATATGATGAAAATTAGCACTTTTTGATAACCATTTTTATTTTTAGATAATTACTTATAGTTTATAATTAGAAGTATAAAATTTATATTGTAGTATTACTCATATTCAATAAGTGTAATTATAATTATTAACTTCATCAATCATTGTTGTGTTTATTTTATTTGACTATGTTCAGATATTTCATGTGTTAAAGTTTATTGGTAGATATCCCAGTTTGAAAAGTTCATTTGTTGATCAGTGATAGTTATGTGTGACAAATTGATGTTTTTATTTATATCAAATGTTATATGCATGTGCTTCTTGTTGTGACCAATAAACCAATTTTATAGCAGAGATGTTTTAAAATATTCATGGTTATTTCTGGTCATTATTTGTTCTTGTATTTATATGGTTGTGTTATTGTTATTTATATAATTTCCTAAATACTGAGTATATATAAATATGCAGTATATTGCAATATATACTACATATACTTAATATATATACTTAAATAAATAGAATTAATATATATTAAAATACTCTAATTGTTGTGTTTTTGTATAAAAGGAATATAGAACATTAGTGAGATAAACATAGATAAACCCACCTGTTACCAAGACTGACCACCTCAGTCTGAGTTTGTCACACATATACAAATACACTCCCCACACAGAGAGAGAGAGAGAGAGAGAGAGAGAGAGAGAGAGAGAGAGAGAGAGAGAATGACAAGAGTTGGGAATGGTGGCACATGCCTTTAAATACAGCATTCAGGAGGCACAGGCAGGTGTATCTCCCTGAGTTTGAAGCAACCCTGGTCTACCAATCAAGTTCCAGGACAGCTAGAGCTGTTACACAGAGAAACCCTGTCTTGTAAAAATCAACAGTGAAACAAAAACAACAGCAACAATATCATCAAAAAAATGAAATATGGCTTCTAATACCTTTCTCTATTGCTCCTTTTCTCTTTTCTACATCATGTCCTTCTTCCACTTTTATTATTTTTCTGAGACTAGGTCTCTTATTGTAGAGGCCTAGAAAACTTGGAACCTAAGCTGACTAGATGTGAACAGCATAGATACTTACTGAAATATTTTTCAAGTTGTAGTTCATCATATTGTGTTCAGATTACATACAAACTCCTTACTGAAATACATGTTGTTTACTGGTATTATTTTCCCCTTTTAGTTTTCATTCATTCTAACCCTTATTTCTATTAAGTGAAAACTTTACTCTAAAGAACTTTCTGATAAAATACACACATAGTGAGATTAACCTGATCCTAAATCTGTAGTTCTCAAGGAACTACAGACTTTGCTTAATATTGTACATTTTAAATTTATCTATTTTCCTGATTTAATTTTTCTTAAGACCTGAATAGTATTCCATATTAGGAATTTTGATGAATTTACCAGATTTTTCTAATAGCTTCATCAATTTAGTTGTTTCCATTCCCTTGCTACAGCGAGTAAAGTAGTAATGAACATGGTGGTATTAATGTCTGTGTGATAGAGTGTGGCATTATCCAGGTATACGCCTAAGAGTGAAATCACTGGGACATATGATAGCTGTATTGTTAATTCTATTCTTATGGAGTCTCAAATTTGGGTCATTAAATTGAAGACAGTTTTGAAAAGGGGAAGATGAATGCTCAATAATTATTTGAAAATGTGTCAAATATTCATGGCAATCAGTGGAATAAAAAAAAGGCACTTTAAATGCTATAGTATCCCAATCAGAATGGCTGTTATCAATAAAAATGACAGGATGTGGAAAATGAGGAATCCTGTTGATAGTGGTACAAATTAATATAACTATTATAGAAATTTCCATGGATTTTTCTAATCTTTAACAGATACACTTAGTGTTTTTTATGTGCAGCCACTGTGAAATTCACAGTCATTGAAAAGCTATCCTTGCTTTGTGGACACCTCACAAATACACATAGCTCGCCCCTAAGAGGGGGTTCACTTAAAGCAGATCTGTGGAAAGATACAGTTCTCTTTTTCTCTGGCATTGTGGACCTGTAATCACTTGTGTTTCTTTCTTGGCCTTGTAAGGAAGGAAAGACCCAAAAGCTGAGTATGGGAGACATTAGAGGCCATATAGTAGTTCTGAATTTGGAGGCCTGGCATACAGAATCCCCTAATTGGAACATGAATCTTGTAGATGGGCTATCAGCAAGAGGAACTGCCTCTCCAAAATTTTAAGTCCCTTGGCATTCAAACAACTTTCCTCTAGAGAAAATCTTGGGAAGAATATCACATGGACATGATATTTCTAGATAGTTGAAAATAGTAAATTGTTCCTCCTGCAATATAGTTCAAAGTTCAGATCCTATAGAAGAAAGAGAATAATGGTAAGCATTATTTAAATCACCCCAAATGCTTGATTCGAAGGTCTTGGTGTAACTGCTAGAATTTAACAGTCCACAACCAAGACATGTATTTCTATGCCCCACACTTAGAACTTCTTTCAGTTATCACCTTTGGAAGGCAGGGCACCTACTATTCCTGAATGCAGAAGGTCTTAGATTTCATCATACTCCCCAAATTTCTGCAATTTACTGACTACACTGACCTCCTTACTGTTAAAACCCTCAAGCCTGGATGGGCCGAATGGTTATTCTCATTCACTCATTCATTGTACGAGCTGAACAAATTAAGTGAAAACTCATTATCATCATTCAAATCAAGACTAAGACACTGTACATCCACTCACCCTTGTACTCTAGGTTGTAGACAAACTTTTCCAAATCACTACACTTTCCTTGCTAGTTTGGCTGGTCACGATCCAGAGGATCCTGTGTTTTCAGGGTTTTGTTTTTTGCAAACAAATGTGCATAGAAAAGGGAACACATTTTGGGTACCTGGGAAGCTCCCTGTGGTCTTTTTAATTGGCAGACAATAGTGGAAAATTTTAGGTCTGGCAGGAAGTAAAAGAACAGAGTCATAGTTAGAAGCAGTAGAGGCACAAACAGTTGCCTAGCATCCATATGTATGTATCTGCTATAAGGATACCTTTTTCAGACTTGAGGTTGGTAGTGACTATAAAGAAGTGTGTCAGAGAAACACATTGAAATAAAACTCTGTCTGAAAACTTGCTTTATTGAGATTATTAGCAATAAAATGCATGGTGATAGGGGATGAGCAGGAACAGTGTGGATCCCTGACTATCAAGGCATGGCTTTGAAGCCATGGTTGAAAAGAGAAAGAGACAATGTGGGAAACAGTTAAAAGCTGGAAGAACTATTCTGTGGGGCATAGCATATTTGGTCCTATATGTTAAGTTATTACTTCAAAAAGCCAAAAATTCTCCCGTGTCTAGATAGACAGTTTGTGTTGTGACCAACTGAAAGAAGTTCAGTAGACCTTTGTGGAAGGAGAACAAGGGACACATGGAAGGTACCCATACCTAGGTTTGTTTCCCTTACTTACACCCTTTCATGTGTACCTAGATATGCACAGGTAGAAGTATTGAGATATATATTTCTTTGCATGATTTAGTTTCATGAACCTGTTTAGAAATCAATGCATAACTAGCAGGTGGTGGTGCATAATATTAATCCCAGCACTCTGGAGGCAGAGGCAGGGATGTCTCTATAAGTTCATGGACAGTCTGATCCACAAAGTGAGTCCCAGAGAAATGCAGTATTGAAAATTCCATAAGAAAGAAAAATAGAGAGAGAGAAAGACAAAGAAAGAGAGAAAGAAAGAAAAGAAAACATCTATGTATAATGATACAACTTTATCTCAGCAGTTTTTCTGGGAATCTTTGGCCCATCACAATGGTGTCTACCAGGAAGCTGACAAGGCAAAGGCAAAAGATTCCTAGATATGCAATTGCTAAGGCTATTTGCTTTATGAGGAGTAAGATTGTGGCAATACCTGGACTCCATATATGTGTTGAAGAAACCTTGAAATGTAGAAGGATGGCCACAGTGAAGCTACCTAATAATGTGAACTGCTTAGTAGGGACAACTCTGTTTTTACCTTTATAGACCATGAAGAAATTCCTGACTCGTTTTGGGCCTTGTCAACGTGGAGTTGACACAGGAAGTCAATGTGAGCTACATTCCTTCCTCATGATTAAAACTTGAATGCAACTGTGGGTGAGGGGATGGGCCTGCACTCTATTTTCTCTTGTCTTTCGGTTTGGGTGAACCAAATAAGAAACATAATGTATTACAATATGAAGGTTGGGAGTTGTTTTATCCAGGAAGGTATTCTTTGTCTTTAGTTTGGTGACTAGAGGAAGAAGAGCTCAGTGGCAGGAAGACAGGTATAGAGAAATACAGAAAGAGCGAGATACAACTAACGGGGCAGAGAAACAGAAAGGTAAGTGGGTTCACATGTACTTGGAATGTATGTGATATATTGCTGGGAGAATGGAATAAAAATATATAACAAAATGGCATTATGGACCACTACTTTGATGCAAGTTTGGAAATTGAGTATGTCAGAAAGAGAATGAGACACTTCTGAACATTCAGGTTTATATTGTTGGAGTGACTTAATGTGTTGGACAAAATCATTTGTTGTGGGACTACACTGAGTTTCCAAGGTTATCAGGAAAGTCAGGAAGCAGGAAAGGATTAAAACAAGATGTTAAAACAACATTTACCCAAGAACACATAGGAAGAAAGCAATCACTGACCAGATGAGCATTAAACGATGGGATAGGGAGAAAGAAGGTGATTGGTGATGCAAGAGTCAACTATGGCTTGGGGCAAAAGAGCAGATGCAGTTTAAACTTCAAATACAGGTATGTGTTTGTACAATATTCAAAGGATCACATTCTGTGGGGCACAAAAATGAAGGGAACAGTACAATGGCCAATATCATTGAATTACTAGAGACAGATAAGTTAAATGAGGTCCAAGACTAGAAAAGGAAAACAGAGGAATAAAAGTAAGCAAAAGAGTAACAAAAATAACTCAGGATTGTTGGAAAACTGTAGAGATCCCACAAAAAAACATACAAAAAAACTTCAGGACACAAATAAATACTTAGGTAAAACAAGTTCTGTGGGACTAAGATACAGGTTTCAGAAGGACAACATTGTACATGTCCACCTTCAACAATAGCCAAATTCCATCATGATGAAGATATAGTAACTACATCAAGAAGAGCACAGGTCACTCAAATTTTCCCTGCTCATAGAAGAGTGGAGGATGTGTGTGGAGGTACCCATATCGACAACAGCACAATGATGCCTTAGTGGGCCAGTCTGGAAGGCAGTCATAGAAACAGGAGACATCGGGATACCTGAATGAAGCATATGTGCTGACCTGTGTGGAAATCGGTATTGTAGAGTTCTTTGGTGGTGTGGTGTTTCCTTAGGCACTGACCTCAGACTTGCTGGCCTCCCAGTAGAGGGCAATGGGGTCAAGATACTTTTTGGCAAGCCAGGTTACTAGAGAGACTGTCTGGAAGGCAGGCCATGTCAAAGGATTTTAGGAGAGATACTATGTTTTGTGCTCTTCAGCAGGTTGTTATTTCTCCAGAAGAGGTTCTGCTGTGGCCAGATCAGCAACCTGTAGTAGAGATTCCCTTTCCTTTTTGAAGCCTTAGGTCAGGACTGGCTAAAACCTCTTCTAAAGTGCAGTGGAGATCACCCAATAGACTGTAGATTGCTATGTCGGAGTTTGTGGTCCCTGTGAGTCTTTAAGTTGCCACTCTTTTGGAGAGTCCTCAACCCCCTTGGGATATACCCCTTGTGCAAACAATTGAGATGGTTTTTCCTGTGCAGACCTACTTCATTGACTGTTGAGTTACGTTGTGTCCATTGAAGACAGATGGTATGAGACTGGCAGCCAGCCAGAGAAATAGACACACAGTTAAGAGAATTGGGAAATGAAAACAGATGAAATAAGAGAAAGATACTGGTTAAAAATAGAGTCTGAGACCAAAGGAGAGATTGAGTAACAATGTTGGGTATCCCCAGAGAGAATGCCTTCCTTTGGGAAGAATGCCAAAGAGGAATCTTTAGAGTGGCCTTCCCTGAGGCACTAGAGATCATTAGCAGGCCAGAGTGTTGTAGATTCCTGAAGACATGCCATACAAAACGGATGCGAAACCTGGTTCTGAGATGATGAGGGAGGAGTAGGTCAAGGAAGCCAGGGAGGATGAGGCTGAGTAGATGTCACAGATAAGCGGGAGAGGTCATGGAATGTCAGGTGTTCATGGTCAGATCTAATGGCAGAATTGAGGTGGAAATAAGAAGGTGACACAGGTAGACAGAGTTTCTGGGGTCACAATCTCAGAGGTTGATCTGAGCATTTGATTGAAGAGTGTGCTCACTGCTGTGGAGGTAATTGGTTGTGCATTCCGGCCAGAACTTTCTTGGTTGAATGCAGAGGTGGTAAACGACCTCACAAGGACGAGGAGGAGCTCTTATGCTCTGGTGCAAAATGTTCTGATGAACCATGGTGGAGGTTTTAGGTAGAGCATGAGTGGGGAGAGAGAAGAAATGATCTGATCATCCCATGGAGACCAGTCCAGCCAACCTTTCCCAGAGCCAGGTGGACGGTTCCAACTATAACGATGGTATGTACTTTTTTCATGTATTCCCTGTGTTCCAATCAGAATCTTGCAATTTCCCAGTGCAGAGAGGATTGCCGAGCATATTTGCCCAGGGATGGAGGCAAGTGACTGGGCCTCTGGTGAAGTTACATGGCACAGAAATGTCTGAGAAGGCCAGAAGATGAAGGTAAGTGGCCCAAGAAGGGCACTTTTTGCTCAGGAATCTTGGCGGTACATCTAGGACTAAGCATTTTTGCACCCCAGCCTCTCTGCACCCGTAGCAGCCTGAGGTCCTCAAGATGATGCCCTGTTGTGTACAGGGGATCATTGAAGAGTGTTCCCTCTGTCATCCTGTGAACATCTTGGTATTTCTCAAAGCCCACCAACACCCTCAGTGTTTTTGAGTGTCAGAGCTGAATATATCTGTGCAAGTGCACAGCAGCATGCATGTATCGATGATGATTCCCAGTCAAACATTCCTTGGAAAAGCTGAACAAAATGAGTGAAAACTCGATATAGCCGCTCTCCTCAGGACTGAGTTCCAACACCTTGGGTCACCCAAGTCCTCCCAGAGTCAGACAGTTTCAGGAACCACTCCACTGCTCCTGCCTGACTCCAGCAGTAGCCAGACTCTGACACGATGGGCTGGTTTTCCCTCCACTCTGCTGGCAATCATGGTCATGGTGAAGACAGAATGTTTCCTAGTCACTGGCAACCTTCGCTTGCTCTTGCTGACTAGAAATCCTTTTAGGCAATGGGTAGGTGTGGTGTTTCCTAGCAGTGGCCTTCATCTAGGCTGCAGACTTAGCAAATGAATAGGAAGAGCAGAGGCCCCCTCCGATTTGTACTGCTCATAGTGTCTGACAGGCCCTGGCATGGGGCCCCTTTAAGTATTCTTATGTGTTGTAGCGCTGCAGTGTTGATGCTGAGACAGACTGTTTAGTCCAGTCTGCAGTTGAAAGTGCCCTGGGACATGGCTTCTTGTGCCTTGATAGGTATGGTCTCTTGACTTGAGGGGCAAATTTCAGGGTAGATGATGAGAGCTTTTGGGTGGTTGGATGCCCAGAAGTTACACATTAGTCAGGATTTGAAGGAAAGGAAGATTTTAAGTTGTTTGAGGATGAAAGCAGACATATCCAGATGGCCTTATTAGACTGAGAGCTAGTCAGATGCTCCGGAGTCACTGTGGAAGGCAGTCATAGATACAAGATACATAAGGATAACGGAATGAAGCATAAGTGCTGAAATGTTTAGGAATCTGCACTGTAGATTCCTTTGTTGTTGCACCATTTCCTTACGACCTGACCTGAGACTTGCTGGCCACCTAGTAGAGGGAGATGGTGTCAAGATACGTTTTGGCAAACCAGCATATTAGAGGACTGTATGGACACAAGGACATGTCAAAGGAGTGTAGAAGAGGCCCTGATATTTTTGGTCTCCTTAGAAGGTTGTGATTCTTCCAGAAGGGGTTCTGCTGTGGCCAGATGAAAACCTGTAGTAGAGAGGCAATGATGATTTCCAAGCCTTAGGTAAAGACTGGCTCAAACCTCTGCTCATTTGTAGTACAGATCACGCACTAGATTAGAAATCTTGAGAGGCATTGAATAGGGATGGGGTCTACTAGCAGTGGCCTTCAAGTAGGCTGCAGAGTTAGCAATTGGAGAGGAAGATCAGAGGCCCCTCTGATTTGCACTGCTCCATCACCATGGCCTGCTTTGGAAATCTGCACCGAAAAATCCTTTGTTGGTGTTGTGATTCCTTAAGCACTGACCTCAGACTCCCTGGGTTCCCAGG